TGGAGGTTGACTTTTTAAAATCTGGGCTGGTGGTGTGCTTTTTCTGCCCACCTTCCTTCTCTCCAGAGTTGGGGAAGCACCCTCGGCCACAGCAGTCTGAGACGGGCTCTCGTGTTACTCGGTGTTCCTGGTGCGACCCTCCACCACGTCTCACGCTGAGCTGTGGTTGTGTATCTGCCTCTGACCCGGAGCCCTTAAGGGAGGAATCACAACAGGCGTTCATTCACACACCTCGTTCGGGGCCTAGCTCCTGACGGATGCTCGGTAAACGCGTGTTACCCTGAACTGAACTGAACTGGATTATAGTGTCACCGGAAAAGGAGATTTTTTTACTTTGCTTTTTAAGTGGGATTAATATAAAACAAATCTAGAAAAGAAAAATCATTCCTTTTTTGTTTTTAAACATAGTCTAAATGTGGGGTGTAGCTACCAGTATGTTCATTGCCCATAATTTTTAAAGCATTCTGTTCAGTGACTCATCAAGGTCCACAAATAGATAGTTGTTTTTTTGTTTTTTTTTAAGTCACAATGGCCCTAGGAAACAAAATTAGGTTCGGCAAATATAAATAGTAAGTGGTTTCTCTTTGCAGTCAGGCATGTGGGGTCTTGTTAATGTACAGAGGAGGATCTCTAAGTATACTTTGAGGAAAATTATTTCTTCCTTTGTAGCCGCGTTGGAAATGAAGTGAAGATCACCGGGTAAATTCCTGTGCGGCTTCCCACACGGTTTCATTCTTGTTCGTAATCCCTAATGAAGACTTGTGTTAAGCTTTCAGAAGAGCAATGGTACTTCATTTCCTGACACTTGTTTTCTGACCACAAAGCCAAGTCGAACAGAGCTGCCTGTAATTCAGTAGAGGAGGCAGACTTCACTTTTCTCTTCTACTTCCTTTTTACTTTTCCTTTTACTTACTGACTTAGCAACTGATGGACAGGGTCTCACCATGTCACGATCCTCCTGCCTCAGCTTCCCGACTGAGAATACAGCACACGCCCCCAGGCCTGGCTTCCCCCCCCCCACAGGGTTTTTGCCATAGAATGCACAGGAAACAGAGAGGGAACATGAGAGGCCACCACCCCAGGAGAAGGCCACAGCGCCATCCCTCCTCCTCCATTCTCAGGATTTTGAGCAGGCACGCACACGCGCAGTGTGATGTTCAAGCTGCCGAGTCCAGGACTCCAACTGTGGTTGGCCATGTGGGAGTCCAGCGCCTTAACCCCCATGCCACGTGCTGGCCCACATCTGGCCCTTTTCTAGACAGGGTCTCACTGTGTTGCCCAGGCCAGCCTTGAGCTCATGATCCTTCTGCCTCAGCCTCCCCAAGTCCCTGGGATTACAGACACACACTACCATACCCAGTGTTCACTGTTTCTTTCTTTAGCAAGGGGGTTTGGAATTTAAGTCCCAACTCTCCCAGGTGTAAAAGTACAAATCAACGGTAATAAACCCCCTGATCACTCCTCCAGACCCTCTGTCTGCTATAGTTCAGTTTGAGAGTTCTGTGCTTCCTTACAAATACCATCCAAATAATGCCTAAATTAGGGAGAAGGCCCTCTTGCCGATGGGTAGCTATTTGAATAATTCATTTGCTCAGTATGTCTTTATCAAGTACCTCTGTGCCAAACGCTGGGGATCGCAGCAAGATTTACTCCCACCCTCCAGAGTCCGTGGTTTGTTTGGGCAACAGTAATACCTACAGTACTCGTTAGTAACGGTGCAGTGCTAAAATGGCTCTGGGACAGTGAGACTGGCGATGGAGTGATCGGTGAGACTGGCTATGGAGTCAGCGGTGCAGCATGGAGGGGTCTGGGAAGACCGTGCAGAAAGAAGAGATTCTTAATCCTTTACATTCGAGAATAAAAATGATTGAATCAGATAGAGACGCGGTGGCCTTCCATCTCAGGTATGGGACCTCGTAAGAGCCAAACATGGCGTCCTGGGAGTGCCTGACCTGTCGAGGGAATAGTGAGCGATCGGCCACGGGTGGCACGTAGGCTGCACCGCGGAGATAAAACCAGAAAGTGAGAGGCAACGTCACGTGATGCCGAAGGCACGGATTCCAGAGCCTGGGCTCGAATCCCAGCGAAGCCACTTACTAGCTGTCATCACCTTGGCAGGCCGCCTAACCTCTCCACAGCTCTTTCCTTTTTCTCCCCTAATGCGGGGTCCATCGTATCCCAGCCCTCCTGCCTCAGCCTTCACAGGCCTTCACCACGTCCAGCTCTTTTCTAGACAGGGTCTTGCATTGTTGCCCAGGCCGGCCTCCAGCTCCCAATCTTCCTGCCTCAGCGCCCCCAGGCCACTTGGATTACACGTGTGCACCAGGCAGACCTTTCGGTTGGACCAAGAGTCAAACCTGGATCTCCCATGTGGTCCCAGCCTGTGTAGCCCCCGTCTTCGCATCCCGTGACTGGACCATGTTTTTCCACTTTTTAAATGAGAGTAAGCCAGCAGGTAGTATGGCGGTTAAGGCGCTGGACTCCTACGTGGCCAACCGCAGTTTGAGTTCTGGACCTGGTGGGTTGCTTTCTAACTTTCTCTCTTCCTATCTCTGCCTCTGTCTCTCTGGTGAGTGCACATGCCCTATCACAAATTTTTTAAATAATGATGATAAAAATTAAATAAATGATTCTAAAAACAAAAGAAATCATGCTGGGTGTGTGTGCATGTGTGCCAAAAATTCCGAGAGGAGAGTGGAGGAGAAAGGATGGCGGTGTGGCCGTCCTCTCTTAGGGGGTGATTTCTCGCTTCCCGCTCACTGTCTCTGTCTCATGTATGCGCCATATGGCTAAAACGTAAATAATAAATAAACTGATAACAACATACACATGCAAGAGGACTTTAAAAAGTTCATGGAAAAAGCATGAACTTTTTCTTTCTTTTTTTCTGTAAAAGCATCTACTTTATAAAGTACAAGTTTATTTTGCTGCCAAAAATAAATTTTGAAACCCCCACATAGTTTTGTGGGGTTTTGTTTGTTGGTTCGTTTATATATTTTGCCAGTGGGCACATGTACTTGCCAGACAGAGACATTTAGAGAGAAGGAAAGTGAGAAAGCATCCCCACTGGGAATGATCACGCCACGATCTTTTCTCCTCTGTCTCTCCCTCCTTTTGGGATTTTGGACACAGACACACACATACCCAGTGGGTTTTTTTTTTGGTTTTTTTTTGGA